TACCCCGGCCAGCACTAGCTTAGGGGCAGAGGAGCCAGTGACTACACAAAGCGGCGCAGAGGTAGAAAATACCGCCCTGAGATGATCGACCCGAATCCGCAAACCTGTCCAACGCTTTCAGGAAGAATCTTATTAGAACATTGTCTTACTATCCACTCTTGCCTTACTGTTCCCCTCCTTCCCCTCCTCCCCATGCTCTCCACTCTAGGGTGGAGGGATGCAGCGTATCCTGCCCGGGTCGTCAGGATATCATGCGACAAACGCGTGACAAGCGAACGATCAAGGTCATGACCCCTGTGCACACCTTCTTTGTGCTGATTGGCTACCCATCAGCTTATGACAGTCCCCCTTGCCATATACCCGCCCGTTTCCCCAAATCTCCTCACTTGTGCTGTCTCTCGTACTCAGTACATGTGCTATTTCCGATTACCCTTCTGTTTTGCAACATGCAAATCCGTGCAACTACTCTTTGACGGGGACGCACTGGAACCCGACGCAATCCAGGTCGAACACTACAATAAAAACAGCTCCAGCCTGATCGACATATCCACATCGATCTTCCCGGCAATGTGGTGGCCAGGATAAGACCCCCAATACTTCAAGAGCGCGAAAATAGTCTATTCCTACAAGCGCTAAGGGAGCCAAATTTGTGATAATCACATTTCCGGGAAAAAATTCGTTCACATCCTTCTCAGTCATCTTAACGGTTAGCTGGAACAAGGACTTCTACCGAAAAGCCACTGCGACTCACGACGACACCCAGAAACCACAAACGTGGTCTTTGCCACCAGTCAAATGCAGAAGTGCAGGAAATTCGGACCATCTTCGTGGACATTATGAAAACCTTGGACTCTTTGAACTGCAGTGGTCTCTGGAAACCATGCATAAATTCCGCTTTCGTGTATTCTTCACGCACGTGGTGCGTCTGCTTCATTACGGGGAGATGACGCGCGTCACGGACAATAGGACAGTGTCAGAAGCATTCGCAATGACCGACAGAGTGAGACAGGGTTACGTACTCGTCCCCTACTCTCTTCAGCGCCATGTTCTCTGCCATGATTATGGACGCCTACCGCAATGCGCGTCCTGGGATCAGCGTCGTCTAGCTTCTCAATGTCCGACGCGTACAGGCCCCAGTGCGCATCTACCCGATTACTGTCCTCAATCTGCCCATTGCAGACGACTACGCGCTTAACACCGTGACAAAAGCAGATATGAAATGGAACATGGACCTCTTCGCCTCCGGTTGCGCTAATTTCGGGCTGACTATCAATACGGACAAAACTGTGGCCATGCGCCAGCTGCATCCAAGCACCGAATACAACGACCTCCTCACCACTGTCAATAACAACCAACACAAAACAGTGCGCAGCTCCGTTGGGGACCCACTGATGAGTCGAACCCCTCGCAACTGTGTCATGCAGCGGCAGAAAATCGGCGAAACACGCGTACCTGGACTCTTGGCTAGTAACTGTGCTGTCAGCATGGCAAATTATGCAATGAGTGTATACTACCGACTGTCCGTTGGCAGTTGACGAATATAACGCGTTCAACCCATTGAGGCTGGTGGATTTCGGCTCAAATATTCATGCCAACTTTCGGACCAAGCCTAGAAAGATCTGGTCCGAAGGATCTACTCCAAGTTCGCGCATTAATTTCTTCGGAAATTAAACAGGACAAAATTTGCTTGGTTAGGCAGTACACTCTAACGCAGCATCAAAATCGACGACGAAGCTGCAGGTCGGATCTCAGAAGCCAGCTACTCCTTCGACCGGCTGGAGATCCCGATCTGGAACCACCATGCATTACGAAATAACACGAAACTCAAAAAGTACAGAGCGGTAGTCCTGACAACTCATACACCAATCAGGCTAGGAAAGCCAAACACCTCCACCTCGGCTGCCTCTGGAGAATACTGAAACGGGGGGGTCAAGACAAGGTCCCAGACACAGAAGTTCTCAAGCGAACCAAAATCTTCAGCATCCACACTATGCTGAGGCAACTGTGCTGCAGCAGCCACATTGGGAGGATGGATGACGAGCGTATATATGGGCAACTTTTATATGGCGAAGCCTCTATGGGTGCTCGCCGACGAGGACAAAAACGACGCTGGAAGGACACCTTGAAAATATCTCTCAGGCAACCGCAAATCAGCCAGGAGACCTGTGAAGACATCACTCAGGAACGACCGTCCTGAAGCAGCAATCTACTAAGCCAGCCGGATTGTCGTTATCAAAGCTTGGACGGCTTGCTATTCTCAAGCGACTCAGACCCACAACGTCAATACCCCACGCCTACCAATATGTCCATACTGTCAACGGGCCGGTCTCGTTCGTCATCTCCAGACCCAAAGCAACGACAGCCCGACAACTCCATCAGCTGCCTCCGCAAACGCCTTCATCGTTACCTCTGCATCAAACCTCACGGCGTCCACGACAATGCCACGACCGCCGCCAATATCCCTGATGATTACACTGCTGATGTCACGTTCCCGTCGACCACCACTACCTCCATTATTCCTGAAACAACCCAAGTAACAACGACTACAACCCCTCTAACTCCAAATACCAGCGGGACCGCTGCCAACGCCTCGGCAACCACCACCCTCACCACCAAAAATGCGCCCTCGATCCCAACCTGTCTTCATTACGATCGCACCTTCACATCACGCATCGACTTGGCCGGTAACTTACGAATCCATCTCACAGAGACTGGTGAAGCCATACCAGGAGCACCAACACACACCCGTCACCATCGCCTCAGCTATTCGGACTGGTGGCGCATATGCGAACACCGCATGGGCCTACCCAGCCACATGCGCCACATGTAAATCTGCGGCAAACCACCGTGTGGGGGCCAGGCGATGTGTGGCTTGTGCCGACGGCCGCTTGTCTTGGTCAGTCACCTGTGTCCAACTTCCGCAACGGATGACCGACTGGCTCGGACAGCAAGCTGGTACCTGAGAGGGAAGAGCGAGTGAGGCCGACTCTGGGACTGCGGCCCCACGGCACTCAGCGTATATTCCCCACTATAAGCGATTTAACGCTCTTTTAAAATATCACGGCCCGCCGAAAGCTGTGGCTGGAAAGGCTGTCAACTGATGGGGTAACTCGGTTCCCCACTCAGGACGCAGAATCAGGCAGCAATGACTCCTTCTTACTGTGACCTCTATGGTATTCATACTCACATGAGGATACAAGTCGTCCCGTTTTTACTTGTTTGAAAATCTGAACCATCGTGCGCGGACCAGGTGTGTAGCACGCACATACGGGCTGTTTAACTATGTCAGCCATTGCGCCCGCTACTACATCCTGTCTTCTTAACTGTCTTGACAGCGAGCTCAGGTAGGTGAAGGAGAGTGCGGTAGATGCGACGCATGGTACACTATCGCTAAAGACTAATTCATGCGCAACTTCCCGTCCCTGTCCCCATCATGCTGTGGAGCGCGCGACGGACGTCGTCAGTGATGGGCGGGCCAGAAAGACGTGGAGATTTGCTCGCCATCGGATTCGTTCACTCTCGCCGATAAGACGTTTGCGTGGTCGCAATAGCTGACCAGGCATTTGTTCCACCCCCATTAGCTACTCAGGGGTCTCATAGGTAATAATGACTGCGGACCCTATCTCGGGCAGGCTGAGAAGATAATTCCAGTGATTTGTCGCTCTAACGCTTGAAGCAGTATAGCGTTAACATAAAAGCCTCTCAGCTACCACCCGGACGAAGGACATCAGAAATAGCTACTTGCTGTTGAGATCGGTATTACACATCAGCATTCACGCTTCTGGCACGGAGAATTTTGGGCGTGGTAGAGACTGGATCCGCATCGTGTAGAAGAGCACGGCCTAACGTAGATGCAGTCAGTCTCAGTACCACCTGTCAATCCGCTATCTTGCGCCCTGTTACGATTAACTGAACAAACTAGGATGCAATAGTACTGACTGGCTTCAGGACGATAGCTCAAATACCGGACCGGTGGGTATTAGCGACGATGACGAGAGGACGACGGTAAAACCCTCGGATGTAATTCCTGAATTTTAGTAGATTTTCACTCCAGAGACTTTCGAACCATGCAACAACGGTCACGGTATTCGACGCGTCAACTCTCTACCAATAATGAGATAGCAAAAATGTAGAGCGGCCACCTCGGAAAAAAAGAGGGAACTGCGGACTGAGTTGGACTGTAACAACTCTTCCTGGTTCGGCAGCGCAAAGCTTAACCATGCGAATGCTAACGTGGCAAAATGAAGAAATTATGTGCCTCTGAGAAGTGTGCCCCACAAGTCATGGCCTGTCCGGCGCTGCGAAGTGCTCCCATCCCTTGCATGACGCAGCTCTGCCTTACGTGTCGCAGTCATTTTGAACGACCAGACAAATTTGTCTCGTCCACTAGAAACCGGTGCCAGGAGGAATCGCACATTTGAGTCCCGTGGTCACGTTGTAAGCATTACAACTGTCGCGATGGTGCGCCATAAGTGTGTCATGAGTCAGACAAAAGCTAGACGCTCCCGTGGTCATAACACTACTGGGGATCCTGCAGTAAGTTCTAAACGACACGGTGGTACCAGGGTGACAAACCATCGCTTAATATTTCATTAGTGGTCATAAGCAAAACGCATTCGGTCAGCGATACTGATGAAATCTGGACCTGAACATAAAGCTGAAAGTTCGGTTACGGCACGTTTGCCATGGATAAACTGACCTGTGTAAAGTCACGAAACTGAGTCCTGAGGGCTCTGCCAATGTGAAAGGCTTCCGTCCTAGTCGCCCCAATCTCAGTAGAACACTTGCTGATGAGGCGTCTCTAGTAAAAAGTACCTGACCAGACCCGAAACGCACCTTAAGAAGTCCCTAGCAGGAAACGCTAGTTCACAATAGGCATCACCGCAGAGACTGAATTTCAGAGAAAACGACTTGACCGGCTGACCCAAGGGCGATCCCCAGTGCAGGCGCTCTCGCCGAAAAGGTTGCGGGGAAAAAGTGCTGTGTTATGGTGCAGAGTGGCTGATTCTGTAGCCTCCAGACCCCTATTTGGGGAGGGCGCCCACAGCCATATTGATGACGACAAATGACTGTGAAAACTACGGGGCCGACAGCCCCTTAGTCGTGTTTAGAGGGCTCCCACTTACGGTACGACGCAGGAAACGAATAGTGGAACCGGACGGGGGCAGGTACATGCCAGCCGGCACCGCCAGTGCCTACCCTGTATACTTTGATGCTGCCCAGAATTACTCCCCATGATCAATCACGCTACACGACGACAAGCCACAAACTACTTCGATTGATTTAAATCTACGGCAAGGGGCGTGATGTGGATTACCAAACCTCCGGCGTCAGTCTGAGTATTACCGTACTGCCTAATTACACAATAGGTCCAACACCTCACCACTGGCCAGCCCCCTCGCAGATAAGCTGCGGGCAGCGAACCCGCACGGACACCAAGGTAGCACAAGTGGAACTGAGGAGCAACTGATGCGAAACGAGAACCATCGTCCTAAACCTAGCGGAACACGACGTCTGCCCGATAACGATGGACGATGAGGCCCCGAGTTGGTGCCCAACTACCGATATCTTGGAATTGCACGGCAGACAGTTGGGAGACGAAATACGCGTGGAGCCAAAGCCAACGGCTGCATAAAACCAACTACAGCCTTAGATGAATATCACCCTTTGTCGGGGGCGGAAATCAATGAGTAAGACCGGACTTTCTTACCCACTCACTAGTGAGGGGCCACTTTAACGAAGTTTTAACTCTGCTTCATCTACCTTCAATATCTTTGGAACTAAGCACGTATTTTATGCTCGGGCAAACTTGTGAAAACTTGCACGATAGTCAAACAACTCCAACCACAAATCACTCATGGTAATTTCGAGATAATAATGACTACAGTTATATAAAGTTGAGCCACAAAGAAGGGCTATGTCAGCACTGATGTCTGGGTGGCCACTCGGTAAGTACTCCAAACAAGCCGCCTATATTTGACAAAGCGTCAACATGAAACCCCCTGCTACAAACTAATACGAAACACCAGAACGCGCGGCCACAAATAAAGTTGCGCATGAAAAAGGCGTGCGACTTCTGCCTGCAATCGGGAAGCGTTTCAAAATGTGTAAAAGAAAGCACTTGTTATCTGGCATATGAGGAAACTGCCAAGGTTGACCACAAAAAAGGAAAAAAAATATATTACACATCTACCCCGCGTTCTTCAAGCAGCCAACAATCGGCGCCCACGCATGCAAGGGGATAACCTGGGATCACAGAATAACAGGAGTTCTGCTGTTACTCTATGAAAGGTGCTACGAAAAGTCACAACAAAAATTTTGAAAGTTCAATTGTTGTACAAGAAGGAACCTAACGGTGGGAGGGAATATACAAGCGTATCAATTTCGAGCCGTGGATATTGAAGAGAAAGACGCAATATGCAACAACATTGTCTAGAAGAGGAGCTTCTGCTGAGCAGCGCATTTTTCAGGCAAATTCCTATGAGGCAAGCATGCTGAAGGCACACAACACGCACAGTGCGCATTGTCGACCTATTCCTTCCTTGCCCTTTGTTTTTTTCGCTTTGCCGAAGGTATATCCTGCCAGACTTCTAGGTTTATAGGGTTTTAGTTTTTAGACAGAATTACCTTCAACTGGTTCCGAGGCAGCCGGTTTCGGGAGAACAGGAACATCAACTACAGGGGATTCTTCGTCTGAAGATCGTTGAGGTTTGGACTCGGCGGATTTTTTGGACTTCTGTGAGTTTTTAGCCTCCTTTGGTGTAGACTCTTTCGAGCTGCCTTTGCCTTGTTTAGGTTTCTGGTTTGTCTTAGCAGATGTGTCAACAGTTTGGGGTCCGTGAGAAGATTTACCGCGCTTTACAGTCACCCACTCGTCGTCCTCTACAGCCGCGACATCCACCTCCTAGAAGATGAAACATAAAAAAGTGCACAACCTCGCTAGCTCGAGCAGCTTGCTCCACTTTTGTGTTGCTCTTACGATTCTTATGTGGGGAGACGGCCAAAGGAGCGGACTGAGTTTGAGGAACGACCGCAGGTTGGACTTTAGGTTCAGTGGAGCTTTGTATTGTCTGTGACTTCGGCGATGGCTTAAAAGATTAAGCATTATACGACAACTGTACCGGAGGCTTGCCGGCCGCTTGGACACCTTCGGGCGACTTTTTCTTCTCCTTACCTTTCTTTAACTTTGATTTCTGTGTTAGTGATATGCCTGGTTTTCCGGCTAGACATCGGCAGAGGATAAATGAGAGAACGAGAACAACTGCTGTTGCGACACCAGCGCACACCGTACAGTGCGGCAAAAAAGCGAGAAGATCAGCCATAGCACAGACCACCAAGCACAGGACACACAAAAACTTTTTGAACAGTTCGCAACGATTTAAACAACAAAGTTCGGTATTGTCGAGATCCCATCCGTCGGCTATTTGTTTATCTGGAAATCCAAGAATTATTGAATATCATTTTGTTTCCATGTGATAGCCTCCATAGGTGCGAAAGGCAAGCCAAACATTTCGTGCTCCCAGGATGCAGAGATGACTAAGGCAAGTCAGAAGGCTGGTGCCTAAATGAACACTCCCAATTTCAAACCCTGAAATATCTTCGAATCAAGAATCTAGTGGTTGGCCAACTAACGTACATTACACCCGAATGATACTAAGGAGCGGAGGACTTGTTCGCAAGTGGAATATTACAAATTATCCTGTCAATCTTCTGTTGAGGCAAACCTAAATGCGTTGCCATGGACAAGCACGTTAACTTTCATCAGATACAGTGAAAGTGAGGTTTTGAGCATGTCAGGTAACAGCTATAAAGCGACCCAGAAGCCAATCGAACTCATTAAGATGTCGACTCCGTGAAATGTCGAGTGCAATTCGAGGCTGGCTTTGTTATCGCTTTCTGAAAAGTAGTGAAAATGCAGCAGGAATTGATAAGTTAGTTGTAGGCCTTTCCTTCTGTTCAGTAGGAGTCTGACAGAGTCTACGCAGTGTTATAATAAATCAATTCTACCTTATAACAATGCAAATCCGAAAGTCAAAACGCGTTTGTCAACCGGACGAATGCTGCTTGATTATTCGTCATTTCTCCGCCACCACCTATAATACTCTCGACCTATATACCCCTTACGTCATTCTCATTAGCTAAAGAAGTAATGTGGGAAGACTCGACACGGTCGTAGAGTAGTATTCGCAAAGATCAAATCGCACAAGTTGTGAGTATGCTCAGTTTCTTAGGAGGGAATTTTGCGCAGAGTGAACATGTTGATTTACGAGTGTGGAAATACGTGCGCTTCACACAAATGGCACGTCAGTCCCACGACGGGATGACAGCGTGCGTCACGGACAACAGCGAGATCTCCGAAGCATTCGCAGCGGCCAATGGAGTGAAGCGTGGCAGCGTACTTGCCCCCACGCTCTTCAGCCTCTTGTTTTCTGCTATGCTGATGGACGCCTACGGTCATCAGCGCCCAGGGACACGCGTGCCCTACAGAACTGACGGGCGGCTTCTTAACATCAGGCGCATGCAGGCCATAATGTGGTTATAATAATAATAATAATAATAATAACAATAATAACAATAACAATAATAATAATAATAATAATTTTTATTCAAGACCCGTGGGGGCCCTATCATAGCAAGTAAGAATAACTTTTACATTAATTTTAGAATTTTAGACGAGGTATGCAGAATTATTAGAGTGCTTAATTCAGTTTTTTAATAAGTATCATGTTATGAAGAATATTGAGCGAGCAGTAAAAAACTAATAACATAAACAAAAGGAGCATGATTGGATTAGAGCTATAGGAGAAAAAAAACGTTTGCTCCTTAGTTTATAAAAATCAGGTAGGACCGGATTGTATATGGCATTGTATGACGGAATTAATGGAGGGGTAAATAGGCGTAACAGGCAGGACTGACCCGTATGTAGACTGAGCAAAAGGATCGAGTCGGGAATCATCATGGGAGAATTCATATGCCGGATGAGGCCATTCATGTCAAAGTGGCTATTTGAAAACCAGTTTCGAGGCGATAGGAACCCATATGCGATCAGTTATATTCAGCCGAATCCAGACGAGGAGGGGGCAAGGAAGATGCGACCAGAATACTAGTGTATGACAAATACAGAAGGTTCCGACAAAGAGCGTTGATAGATCGCATTCTGTGAGGGCACGATGGATGGACATACAACTAACAAGGCAAGAACCGTTGAACGGTTATCTACGACCACGATCCACGATCAACTCTTCAGCGACGATTGAATACTCAACACTGCGACCGATGGGGACGCAATGGAGCATGGACCTCTTCTCCTCCGGGTACGCCCAATTCAGACTGAACATCAATATAATCAAAGCGGTGATTATGAAGCACCTACGGTGAACATCTTCGCCTACCTACGAAGCATACTCCTGCACGGCACAACAATCGACGACGAAGGGATCCATCGGATCTCCAAAGCCAGTTTCGCCTTCGGCCGACCGCACGACTCCGCGTAGAATCGTTGTAGCAGTCAAGAATATAAGATGAACTGTAACCACACGCAATAATTTAGTTCCACCTTTCTTCAGAATTCAGGGAAATGTAAGCAAAGGTGCATTATGTGCACAGGGCAGGTTGGCGTGAGCTGGCTGCTTGCTTGTGTCGGAGCAATCGTCCGTTCCCAGAGAGCGTCGGTCG